TGTCCTGACGTGCTGGGCTCCCGAAGACAATCCACTTTTCAATGATTGCCCGATGCGCCCTGCCTCTCTTCTCCCATTCGGCTCTGGATTTTGCAGGTATCAAACCGGTGATCTTATTATCCTCCATTCATATCCAGCTAAGATAAACTGACGCGTACTCCAACAAGGAATTAAACGCATAGTAAACCGTCTTTTAAATGCTTCATGGGAAGCTCCGGACACCAGGATCTTTTTATACCACCGACAAAATGCAAGCGATACATTCGAAAGCCTGGTTGTTATAGCCGCGAACTTGCTGTCGATATACCCTGGACGGTCCAGGAACGACGCCCGGTTTTTACCATAGGGTTAAGTCCCAAACACGCCCACACCAACTATCAGAAATGGATGGAAAATACAACATTTCCCACGCCTTAGATCCAAAAGCAGCTGCAGGCGTAGAATGGTAAACTATGAGGAGGTTGAACTGGTAAAATATGACGGAAACAGAGATGTGAGAGCGGGCGGCTTGGTTCATTGGAGAAACAATATAGAAGACTGACATAGTGGTCCAGTGAGGAGGCGATTGCTCTGGAATGCGAGGGAATGGCTGTTAGAAGGCCAAGAGTCACTCGTGGTGTATCCGAGCAGCAGTGCTTTGATGTTGATTGACGATTGACAACGCCCCTCGACGTGTAAACAAAGATATGATTTGGCGCGTCTGGACAAACTCGCTAACTAGTTATCACGTGATAATAAGTCGCGGGTGGCGTCAACGGCACGTGAGCGCTTAACTAACGAGCTACTTCCTCCTACCTATCTTTTTTCATTTCTCTCACTTTAGTTGACAAACATACAACAAGGATATCAAACTATGTCCCAGAGAAAAGTCTACAGCATGTAAATAAATGGGAAATTCTACGGGTATTGAAGCAGCTTTCGAAGCTGTTGCTTTGTTTTTGCGACCGGTTTTGACAAAAGGCACGCCTATCTTGATTGATCCCCCAACTAATTTAATCAACGATGCGGCTAATAAATTTAAAAGAGCAAATCAAGAAGAACCCGGGTCTTTCACTAGTAGATTCTTTAATAAAAAGTTTACCTGAAAATTATGAGACCAGCAGGTCTTCCAGAGAAAGGGTAATACGGCGAAGCCTCGACCTTTTGACAGACATCTACCAATCATTCATCCAATTAGGGCACACCCAAAATTTTTTGGATGACCATACCACTGGCCTTGAAGATGCAAAACGGAGGAGGATTCTTCATACTCTCCTTGATCTTATCTCTCTAGAGGGAATATATCCGTCGCTTTCTGCGGGTGCTGGAATTCCCCTAGAAAAGAGAGTAATCTCTAGCCTCCCAACGGGTGTAGTGGCTAGGCAAGATGGGTCGGAAGAAAAAACATCCCCCCGAACGGAGGCCTTCCTCCTTTATATACTCAAGTCATTGCGAGAGATACTTCAGGACAATCATTTCTCGCTCCAATCTATCATAATGGGGAGGCTGCTCTCGGACCTAATTTCAGCAGCCGCCGAGCTATCTTTCCATTCCCAATACCTCGCCCAATCGGATCTTGAATGTTGTAATTCTATGTTCTGGAAGATTATTGAGGAGTAAGAAAAGCCATATTCTAACTACTTCCAAGTTACTTCCAAGTAATAATGCCTCTCTAACATCGCCATAGCACTCCGACCCCTCTTCTGCTCCCAGTACTTACATCCTTTCTACAGCCAACCTCTGCTCCCTGGCTCAAAGATCCAATTTCGTCAGCTCTGTCAAGTATACCCCTTCGGAAGGAAGGTGTTTTTCAAACTATTACCTTTCTCGCATCTCAGTTTGCCCCTGAGACCTCATCAACTTCGCAGCAGATTAATGGACCTCCGATCACTGCCCAAGCGATTATGCAGTCCTCTAGGATCCTTTCGAGTATACCCCGTGGGATTTCCCCGGAAACTTTCTTAACAAATGTCGGGCCAAAGCTTCTGTCCCTTCTTGATGGAGATGATATGGATCTAAGAAAGACAGCATCGTACATAATAGGAAATGGCATCTTGCCAAAGCGCTCTATTGGTGCCCCAGGTACGATCGGCTTTGAAATATTTGTCAAGCCTATCTTTGACACATTTCATGGAAAGACCGACGATACATCCACCTTGTGGTTACGCAAGTTCAATCGGGATGGTTCGCCAGCTTCCGCGGGAAATGATAGCCATACAGACGGCCGTGCCAACGTCAATACCCACCAACTGTCCCTGGCTTTATCTCGCCTGACATCCTTGGTCATTCTGCATCCTAACTCTGCTCTACTCAAGCGGCTAATCGGACCCATCATGCTCCCTCTATGGGGCCTACATTGGCACGCGAAGTCTCTCAAAAATCATAAGTGGACTGACCATACATTTATGCTCTTACAGAATTTTTTCAGTATTTCTTCTGCCAAATCTAGGTTTGAATGCTTGGTCGAAAACATGATGTGGGATGGCGAGGCAACGTGGACCTACAAGCATTCTCTAAGCCATGATATATTTGTAGGGAAGCGCGAATCCCCAAACCCGGAGCATACTGATATAATGCGAATCATTGAGAACGTTGATCAGCGGGCTGATTTACTTGTCACTTTTCTTGGAGTCGATCCGCAGCGAGAAACGCAAATTGGAGACGTTTTTCTTTTGGTTACAAGCAAATGGCTTCTTGGAGGGAGAGGAATCTCCGAGAACCAACCCTTGATATCCCCAGATGATATACATCTAGGTCTACAGAAAGTGGTGTATACCAAAATTGCTGAAAAAATCATCAGCCAATTTCAGGACATTCTATGTCGTCGATTGGATCAAATAGTGAAACTGGTCAATCAACTCATTGACCACGAAATACATCTGGTCACGAATAGGGACAAGAAAGGAACCGCTAAACCTTCTTTAGAGTCACTAGGAAACATTTTAAAAAATCATGACAATGGATCCGACGCTCATCCTTCAGACTCTGTTGAATCACCGGAGCCGCTGTCTGCTGCGCTCAGCTTACTCTCTACACTGCTGCTATCTTCAGACTTGGACCCCGGCGATGAAATACGAACATTACTATCGGAGACAAAGCTTAAAATTGATCGAGTGCTGCCTTTTGTTTCTCAGGCGGTTAAGCACCCAGCAACGGCATTATCCATTCACATCGAGTTTCTCCTCAGTGGATATCTACCCCAGGAAAGAAGAGAGATTGTTTCTGTGGTTAATCAACAGCACATAAATGACATAGAGATGCACCGACAAGCTCTTGCGAACTTGAACTCACCGTTACCTCCAGTCCAAGCCGAAGGACTTTCCATACTATCTGGATTAATAAAGAAGTCTTCGCCAGTTCTTGACATCCCGGCTACTCTCACCCTTCTAATATCCCTAATTATCAGAGGTGAGGGAAATGGGAAAGATGACGAGTTTGTCTACCTAAATGTGATCTCTCATATCGGTGTTCTTGCCTCAAAGCATCCTCGTACGGTTATAAAAACCCTATCTGAGCGATATAGGGATAGTAGTGAAGAAGCTTCATTGGACGAGAGGCTCCGCATCGGCGAAGCTATTCTCAGGGCCGTCGAGGAAATAGGAGGTGCTCTAGTAGGCGAAACAGCTACGATCTTAGGCGATACAATGGTAGAGGTGGCTAGCAGGCGAGGGAAAAAACCGAAGGCTAAGGAGAAAAGGTTAGCAGACGCGAAACGTAAAGAATTGGAAAGAGGCAAAACCGATGATGCAGAAGACCCGGTAGCCGAAGCTGCGGATATCATGAACCAATTGGACCAAGAAGATACAGACTCAGAGCCGGAAGACCCAGCGAGATCCGCCTATTTGAATAAAATTCTCCAAGCATGGACTTCAGGGGCAGCCTCGGATGAGCAACCAGATGATCTACGTGCTCGTGCATCGGCCATATCCATCCTTGCATCTGCCATTCAGACAAATATTGCTGGTTTAGGACAGCGAATAGTATCCACCTCCATGGACCTGGCACTTTCTACACTGACGCTAGAAACAGGACCTGAAAACGCAATCATCCGCCGTGCGTCTACTATACTCATGCTTGACATCACAAAGGCGTTAGATAACGCCATGGAGCAAGGTATAGACTTGGGGTTCAGCTTTTCGCATACTACTTCCAGCTACAGTCTTTCTCCTATTAACGTGAACACGATTGGAAATATTCCAGATATCCTCCATGTCCTAGCCTTTGTGGAGAGCAAAGAAACTGATGTTCTTGTCCGCGGTCATGTACGAGCATTAATCGAGAGTTTAGAGGCATGGACTGAAAAAGCGATCCTGCGTGGTGTTGCAACCAGTGCTCAGCCTCGATTTGAACTTGGTGATAGAATTGCTGGGCTGGATATTGCACCTGTTGCTGGTGCATCGGATACTGGGGGCCGTCCACGAATTGAGGAAATTGAGTAATGTAAAACGACATAAGGCCACTTTTCGGGGTATAGTTATCTGAATAGTGAATATTGAATATCGTTAATCTCAAATTATTATTTTTTTCAGTTCCATTCGACTAACTAACTACCTAATTCCATGCACCTAACTTTTCTCCTTTTCTCCTTTTTTTTTTTTTTTACTTTTTCTTTTTCTCCATTTAACTAAAATACAATGTGGGAACTGTTCATCCACCATGAAGACCCGGGCGATTTCCTTTCCATGACTCCGGCGTTGGGCAACATAGCTCATGATATTTGTCTGTGCCAATAAAGGTCAAAAAACATGCAATTAACAAAAGAAAATGTGAAATCTGGAGGCTGAAGAGAGTCATTGCTGTTATCACCGTCGGCAGAATTTGATTTCTGGTAAATGGTGGAGGTGAAAGCAAGGTGAATAAAAGAATGATAGTATCAACAGCCAATGTGATGCAGCCAAGTGAAACAAAAAGTTCTGTGGTTGAATATGTTGCTTGACGCAGAGAACAAAACAGCCTTTGGTCTGACTGAGTCTGATAGGATTGAGATCCCAATAGGAATGTAATCCTGTAGAAAAGTCATCTTAATGGTGGCTTCGAGTATGTCCGCCACGGCCACCATGTCCGCTTCTGCCACGACCGCGACCGCGACCGCCACGATTGCCACGGCCGCCACGGCCACCGTGTCCACCGAGACGGAAGATACCTCCTTTGTTAGATTCATTTGCTGCCTTTAAAGCCTCATTCTGGGATTGACGTTGTTCATCAGACATGGCAAATGCGTTCTCAATACCAATTAGTTTGCAAAACTCCTCAGTCTGTGGGTTTTGGTATTCAGGAGGCTGTTCCTGGGTGCTAACTGGAACAGAAGGGTCATAAACGGGAGCAGTGATGATGAAGTTGTATGGAATGACCATCTTCCCGGCCTTGACAACGTTCTCTTCGATCCACTCCTCAGCGGCAATGATGTCAGGTTTATACCCGCCATCACCTTTGTTAGAGGGGACGGAGGCAGCTTTGTCACCAACGGTGAATCCTGGATGCAGAGCGCGGGTGATGGCAAGCCATTCCTTATCGTACATCAGCTGGTAAGGGCCAGTATTACCAGCTCCATCGTCCTTGGAGACGGGCTTAACCTCAGTAAGGTGTAAGAAATGACGGCGACCTTCACACTTGTCCAATGCAAGGAATTCAGTGGTAGTATTGGTAATTTCCGCTGGGAGAGTGGATTCAACAATTGGCTTAGGCCCAGATGTAACTGGGGAAGGCTTGGCAAAGCTGGCTGGCAGCTGGCTACGAATGTCATCAGGAACGGAGTCAACATTCTTAGCATCATTGGTAGCTGCTCTCTTAGCCTCGGATCTCTCAGGCTCAGGCTCAGGTGCTTTTTCGTTGGCAACTTTCTCGCAAGGCTCAATCTCAGCTCCTGCAGGAATATTGGCCTTGGGCTCATCGTTCTCAGACCCATCATCCATGTCCAGATTGATTTCGTCGGTATTCTTGACCTGCACAACTTCGGAACTCTCAGCGGCTTTGTTGCCTTCTTTGTCAATGGAAGTCGTAATAATGTCTTGAACCTCACGACCAGTTCCATCATCAACACCAACTTTCTTCCACTTCAGCTGGTAGGTAATGTCACTACCAGAAGTGATGTCTCCAACTTCCACTTGCTTGTGGTATTTTGCAACCTCTCTCATGAATATTTCCTGCTCGTCTTGCTCAGTAGAAGCAGCAACTTGGTGGAAATCACGCCAAGCGTTTTTCTTTGCGGTCTCATCCTGTGCAACCTCCTGGATTGGACCTAACTTTGGCTCAGAAATGTCCTTGGGATGATCGGAGACGGTATTTGCTTTTTCGGCAAGGACAGGTGGAGAGGGCACAGGAGGCTTGACGAGGGTTTGTTCAGATTCCTTGAAGCGGATAAGTACCTGTGGGGGTTGGTATTCCTGGTGGTGCAAAGTGGCAGTATACTTGCAGTGCAGGTGAGCAGAGAACCAGTGAGCTGGCCTGAGTCTGTCAAGCACCTGCTTGGCTGCAACATTACCGAGCTTGCCGGTCTCGGAATCTTCCATGAGGTGTTCTTTGATTCTGAAGAGATGGTCATAGTCTCCAGCCCATTCAATGCCACGAGGCCAATCATGGCTAATGCCAATGTCGACCTGTGTACGAATCTGCAGAAGTTTGCGGACATCAACCTCTCTAATGTGGTAAGCTGAGCGTAGCGTGTCACTATCGTAAGGGATTCTCTCATAATGGGGACGATGATAGTCATAGCCCTTCCAAATACCGGACATGCCCATAATGCGTAGAGGTCCGTAGCGGACCAAGTTAGCTGCTCCCATGTAGTAGATGTTTGGAGCAACCCAGCCACCATAGTAGAGCTCGAACATATGGTTGCTAGCCTCATGGTTGCCTCCCACAAAGATGGTTAGGATAGGGGCAACGCGAGCACCGCTGTAGTATTCATGGAAGTCTCCAATCTCCCTATACTTGTTTGAAACTGCCATGCAAGTAAGGTCATTGGAGTTTCTCACAGCCTATAATATACCAGAGTGAGCATGATGTTAACTACTATTAGGGACACAGCCACACACAGACAGGCTGATATAGTAGAGAAACGCGTAGATAGAGCCTTACCTGAAAGTCACCCCCAATAATAAGCAGGTCAACGCTATTCCATCCGCGAGCCTCAGCTGAAGCCTGGACAGCCGCGTAGATATCATGTAGTTTTCCATGCCCCTAGTAATAGACAGTTAGCAGATGATGCTGTTTTCTGTGTATCTAATATATAATATAAATAACTAGCAAACTAGGGAAAAGGGTAGCATACACATCCTTCAACAGCCACTCTAAGCGGGCGGCGTGTCTCTGGTGTCTCTGGCATTGCTACTGCGTCTGCCATGTTTGAGGTATCTTGTATGGAGAAGCGGCGTAACAGATTCACGCCTATCCAGCGTGGTTGTTAGTATACAACTGTTTGAGACCAGTTGCTTGTGAAGAGGAAAAGGAAAAGAGAAAGAAAGAAAAAAAAAAAAAGCGGAAGAAGAAGAAGAAGAAGAAGAAAGGAAGAGGACAGGAAAAGAGTGAAAGGATGAAAGTGAACGCGCGTCTCTTCACTTTGTTTTGTGTGTTGTTGTCTTCGCTTCACTGTTTTCACCTTTTCTGCGTTGCTAGGGAAGTTGACGTTGTTTTTGCCTTTTTGGGATTAAAAAGGCACTTTTCCTAATGATTTTGATATCTTCGACTTTTCCACCAACAACTCTAGGCTGAATTTGTATAGTTATATAACTACTCCGTACGATGATACGAGATTGAAAATACTCATAGATACCTGCTCGTGCTCGTTCCTTGTGTTTTGCCCAAGAACATGTCTCAGCCGGCGCCTGCAAGACTGGATTTTTTGAAGGCATCTGCCCGTCTGCTCAGCCAGCAGAGCCCTTCGACTTCAGCGCATCTGATGACGATGCATAATAGCATAGTGCTCCAGGATAAGTCGTCTCGTCTCCCCATCAAAGAGCAGATGGAAGCCTGTCCATCATGTGGGAGCGTCCGGATTCCGGGGGTAAACAGCAGAGTCTTCACCAGAACCCAGACCCCTCCCAAAACAGCTCGAAGTGTGCATAAGTCACGGCCAAAAGAGCCATGTCAGGACGCGAGTCAGGGTCAATCGGTGCAGAAATGTCTCATATACGAGTGTCTACGGTGTAGGCATGAAATGGTTCAACGCATCCCGCAACCTGCAAGACCTATCCAGAGGAAGAGGAAGCCTCCAATCGCGACCGAAACCTCGTCTTCAACCAGCCAAAAAATACCTCTAAGAGCTACTAAGAATCCTGCTGAAAGGCTAGAGTCTGGATCTGCGACCTCAAAGACAGATTCCGAGAATTCCAGCAGCAAAAAACGAGCAAAGATGCGAAAGCAGAAGGGCCTGTTGGCCAGCCTGGCCACTCAGAAGCAGACCAAGCCCTCAAGCTCACTAGATCTTTTGGATTTCCTTCAATCGTCATAGTTGGAGGCGTGGTTACATCACTAGAAGTGAGAAGTTATCGGCTTCCGTTTGAGCATACCGCAGATGCTACTTGGTTATGACCAACTTCGCTCTTACCGTCGTTAATGCCGTTCAGAGGCGATTCACTGAGAGCTACAGTCACAACGACCCAGACATGGTCAAACTAAGACTACGAATGTAAAGGGGGTACGTTAAATTTCATTCGGGTATTTGACCGTCAAGCCCCTAAACTAACTGAGTAGTTAACTAGTTATTTCGCTACTGAGCAGCAGTGCTAGCTTTGGCTCACGGCGGCATTTGCTGTAACTAATGGGGCTGTCCGGGAAAGACCAATGGGCTTCGGATAGCAGCATCATATCAAAAGTGGCAAGAACAAGCCTCTCGCTGTCTGTGTTTATCCTCTGACTGCTATATATCGCCCCCGTCCTGAGTCCAGGTCAACGCTGTCCGCTCTCCTCTTCAGGATCTCCGACTTCGTCTCAACCTTCTTTGAGGCTCAAAAAGATCGAAATAAACTCAAGACTTTTTCCTTTTGTGGGTCACCGAACGATTACTCAGGAAGTTAAAAATACTCATGACATATTCAATTTTTTTTTTTTTTTGTTATCGAAATAAGCGACAGGCAAGACATATAAAGCAGACATTTCAACCCCAGGTTTACCGGTTGATACTCTAGAGTAAGAAACTGTGTTGACTTTACTACTACCATTTT